TTTATCGTCCGAATCAAACTGCAAAATAATCAACAAACAATTCCAATAAGAAAGGACTACATCTGGAGAATTCATGCTTAATTTCTTGTTACTTTTCATTCACGAGACTTTGTTCCCTTTTTTATTTTTGAATTGACCTCTTTTAGCATATTTAAGCTTTTTTGTTTTTTTCAGGTGGGCGAAGAAGTCTTCTGATAAAAGTGCTTGCCACGTTCAAAAGAAACAGTACATATTAATCAGTTCACTCTTCTTCCTCGCAGATGAACACAAGTAACTTTTTGACAGGCCACCCCACTTAATTACCAGTGTCAACAAATCACGAAACAAGAAATCAGGAACAAAAATTAGATCACCATCAGCACACAAACCTTCAGTGAGAAAAAAAAAGTAAACAGAGAAAGTTCTTCAAAACGAATACAGCAAAAAGACGGAGCAAAAGGAAAAGGAACCAAAATAATGCAGAAACTTTATTTGATCATGATAACAAAAGTTTCTGACTCAGTCAAAACCACTGACACAACAATTCTACCTCTCCCCTCTTTCAAAACTGCATTACTACCCCCATACACCCAGCTACCTTGGACTACATTAAAGCTTGAAACTTAAACCAAAGGCACGGAAGGCCACAGAAAGGAAAATTAGCAAAGAGAACTTCAATTGGAGCATCATAAGATATACCATGGGATTCATAAGATAGAGACAGTGAGAAAGTAGAAGAATGCAAATCAAAGTTACAAGATTGAGGTTGCTCAGGTAACCGCTCAGGATCGACGTAATTGCCGACATATCATCAAGCATCTATAACTTTCCAAATATCATAACAAAAAAAAGTCATCATAGCAACCTGCTTAGTTATTGATTGTTCCTTGATGAAAAAGAAAAATGCACAGACAAAAAATTAGGAAGAGTTGGAAAACAGAATATTCACAAAAACATTTACTAAGAACAGGAAAATACGGGTGTTGGACAAAATTGATTTAAAATGATGAAAGGCTGCTCAGGTAACCGCTCAGGATCGACACAAATTGTCGAAGTCTCATCAAGAAACTTTCAATAAGTTTTGATTTTCATCATAGCAACCAAGTAATTCTTGCAAAATAAAAGATGTAAGATAATTACAAAAAGCAAGTTCATACAGCTGATGCCTATAAAACTTGGCTGAGCACCAAGGAAGATGGATCATCCATAAAGGAAAGGAAAAAGTTTGCAGCTGGTGTCACATGAAGAAGAAACCACCTGTTTCAGTCCTCTGTATTCAGGTCTAGAAGAATAAAAAATGCTAAGGTAAAAAAATTCAAACTAATAAAGGTGGAAATTTGTCAACATTTGGACAGAAATTTCCAATTCATGCAGACCACGAGTTATTAGATCAAAAGAATGGACAAAGTGAATCCTCATTTAAACAAAAAGGGTCCTTTATTCTCCAAACGGAAATGGCTTAAAATAGGATGACACTCCAAGCAATCAGCATCCTATCTTTCAAACTGACCAAGTAAAAAATTTGTAAATAGCCTTCTGACATGGCTTCAGCCTCTAAACTACAGATAAACAGTTTGGCAGAATTTGTCCTGAAAAAGAATTAAGACTAACAGAGAGGGCAACACTAAAAATGTAAGCTGCTAGGAGCAAAACTATCTATGGAGTCATAGTGGAGTTCTTCACTTTCAATTGAGTTCATTAAAGATAGTTATTTGTGCAACAAAGACCACACAATATTATTGTTTACAAGAACATCCTAAAAGGAAAATGAGGATGATCAAAAGCAGCTCAAACACAATAAGCAAATACAAAGAACTAGACACAAACCTTTATGTTGAGCTTCTCTAAAAACTCAAATGCCAGCACTTGATTTTCTTCAGGAGAATCTTGTTTTGGTTCTTCGTTTGGAAATTTTTCTCCATACTCAAATGCCTGCACTTGTTTTTCTTCAGAAGAATCTTCTTTTGGTGCTTCGTTCGGAAATTTTTCTCCATACACATTCTTTTCAACTGACCTGGACTCTTCCAACGTCACCACACCATCTGGTCCATCTTTGGTATATTTACTAGCCCCAGTTGAAATTTCATCAGAGAGTGATGATCTGAGAGACAAGTTGGTGCAATATCGCAATCCTGAAGCGAACACATAAAAATCAGTCGCAACTGTTCCTGAATTTCTTTCTTTTTCTTTCTTTAACCCTTACAAAAAATTTCTAAATTAGTTTCCTAATGCTACTATAGGAAGTGTTTACAAAAACACATTCCATTTGACTATTCACGTTATAATAAAAGGGTAAACAGACATCACATAGGTGTTATTTTCAACACCATTTCTAATCAACTTATTGATTCTTTAAAGCAACCAATCACAGTTCAGCTAAACCATATCTGTACTGACCAAACCAGAAAAAACAACGGGGTTATTTACATAAATATCGAAGGTTTTTTTCACGATATTAAATAAATTTTAATACTTTAATTTGGATTCAAAGCATAGAAAATCAATTTCTTGACTTCTTCTTTATTTTCTCGCCTCTTGTCAAGGTTCCTGCTCTTCCTACGTTCTTCCATATGAAAGTTACTGTACCCTTCTCTCCTCCAGCCTTGTAGTGGTCATGCTCACAAGTCAGTGGGGAGAAGGTGGTCACTAATATTTATAAGGTGATGGCGGCAGTACTTTCAGGCCTACCATGAATTTTGCAGCTGCAAATCGCCTCCCTATTTTTTTTAAGGATTCAATTTCTCGATTTTTCAAATTCCCATTAAATCATCAATGTTGTGTATTTTTTATGAAAAAGTTTAATAATTTGATTATCAGTAACCCATAAACAATGAACTCAACCTGCCCAAATCCCCTGATAACATGGTTTATAATCTCATTTCTTATTCTAAATCCAACCCCATGCCATTGCACAACAACAAAACAAACAAAATCTCCTCATTGCTGAGAAACCCGTTGCACCAAGCTAAACCCAATAATCCCATTGTTCCATTCACAAAAAACGCCTGATAAATTCACAATAAACATCGAGAAATGATCCACGGATTAACAATAAATAAGACTTGGGATTGAAACAATTACCTGAAGGGTTGAAATGGGACGGAGAGATTCTTGAAGCAGGGAATTTGGGATTAAGTTTCCGAAATCGACCTATTGGGGAAGCACCGGCAGTGAAGAGCCTGCAATATGGATGATTCGAGATTGATCGAGCTGTGCAAAGCTCCATTTTTTTCCCTCTTTCAGCTAATTTAACTCGATTAAGCCCTAAATATGATTAGGGATTTTCAGACTGGGGGAATTTATGGAGGAATGTTAGTGAAAATGTGGAACGCTAGGGTTTAGCGGCGGGGAAGAACATAGCAACACGTGTTACGTAATTGGTGGACCGTTGGTTTACTAGATAAAGAGGGGAAAATAAAATAATAAATGGTGTGGGTTTTTTTTTTTTTTTGAAAAGTAAGCTTGTCGTTAAAGGAAAACAAAAACGAAAATGAGTTGGATTTGAAAGATATTACTAATATGTTTTCTTCCATAATTCTGAGGTCAAAAAAAATAGGAAAAAGGGGCCATGGGAGGGAGTCCTTCAAAAAGGTTGAAAATAGAATAATTCATTGATTGCCATCTTCTATTTTTGTGGTTTTGAAAATTCATTGATTCTCAAATTTCAATCACTAACTCCCTCCACCCCCACCCCCCCTCTTGTGTATATATATATATATATATATATGTGTGTGTGTGTGTAGAGGCTTCTAATTGAAGAGAGTGAATAGATCAATAGATACTTGGATTCTAATTTAATATTTAACCTTCTTCGAAAAAGTTTTGTAATTCTTCTCTCTTCTAATAATATTTATTGCCTATTAAAAAGTTAAATAACTTTGCTAAATCCATATATAGTTCCTTAGTTTAGTGGATTGTTTGATTCTTAGATTGGATATTTATTAATTTCGTTAGAAACTAAACTGTTTGTTCGTGAGAAAATAGATTGCTGTAATTTTTTGTGTTTAACTAAAAATAAATATGTATTCTAGGTGTATAATCATTGTAAAAGTTTGAATGGCCATCTCAAAGAAAATCTATAATTTCATTTTTATATATTTGTTGAATATTACTTCACGACAATATAAAAAATTTTAAGCATTGGTATATTAGTTAAGTATTTAGAATACAACAATTTTTTGAATTAAATATGAATAAATATGTAAAAGTGTCATTGATATTTCTTTCTTGGAATATATCCCCTGGCTTATAACTAATCCAAATTTTGAAAAAAAAAAATCATGTACTAATGCACGGGCTAAAAGCCCAAAACCAATAATTAATCACTTTGTGAACTCTTTTTCTAAATTTCAAAGCCCAAAAGTTTTGCAGTAGACCTCCTTCCGTAACAAATTCCAAACTTCCAAATTTCAATCCAAATACGACAACTGTCAACCCTCAAAAACCTTGGGCCTGTTTGGAAGTGAGTTTTTTGACCAAGTTTTTTACCTACTAGTTTTTTAACAACTTTTGCTACAGGAATCCCAAAAAACTTCTTAAAGTTTTTTCCCTACACACTTCAAAAATCTAATAAACAAAAAATTTTCCAAAAATTTTTCTCTTTTTTCCTCCCTCATCCAACCCACCATGCCAGCCACCACCTCCACCACCTGTACCGGCGCCGGTCATCTAAAAATTTTTTTTTTCTGTCCTTCACCCTCACCCCCTCTCCTTTGCAGAAAGAGGAGTAACGCTGTCGTTTATGCCGGGGGTTGGCCCGACTGTCTTTCTTTATTTATTGTTTTTTTTTTTTTTACAAATCACCCAAAGTGGAGTTAGGGTTGGGGGATCCGTTATTTCCATGGCGGGCATGGAAGGAATTGCAGCGGCGGGAGGAACTGGAATTAGAAGTAGAAGTGGAATAGGGGGAGGAGGAGGAGGTGTCTCAGTCTCAGAGGGGGGGAGAGGAGAGGAGCCAAAAAAAAAAAAAAGAAAAACATAACCAAGCAGGGGCATGGAGGTCGAACGACTGCGCGCGCATTATGACTGGAGTGCGCTGTGGTCGCGCTATGAAGAAGGTGCACCAGGAGCTGGGCTGGCTGATGCGCTTGCGGAGGAGGTCGGCGGCGCACCAGGCTCTCTGGCGCACCTGCGTTTCTGATCAAAGAGGCGCCGGAGGTGGTGGTCGGCGCTCCAAGAAACAAGGGGAGGGAGAGGGGGGAAGGGGCAGTGGAGGAGGGGGTGGTAGGGCAGAGGAGGTGGCGGGGCAGCGGGGGAAGAGGTTGCGTGCAGAAGGGAGGGGAAGGCGGGTAGCAGGGGAAGGGGTTGTGCAGAGGGGAGGGGGAAGAGGGGGAGGGGGTGGCGGAGCAGTGAGGGAAGGGGCAGCGGTGGGAGGGGTTGGCATGCAGAGGGGAGGGGAAAGGCAGAGGAGAGGAGGGGGGGAAAGGGAGGAGAGGGGTGGCGGGAGGGGGAAGGAAGAAGAAGAAGAAGAAAGAGAGGAAAGAAAAGAAAAAGGAAAGAAAGAAAAAGAAAAAGAAAAAGAAAGAAAAAAAGAAAAGGAAAAAAAATTTCACCTTACAAAAACTTCTACAAAAATTTTACCTTACAAAAACTTCTATAAAAAATTTTTTCACCTTTCAAAATTTTCTACAAAATTTTTTCAAAAACTTCTACAGTGCACTACAGTAAAGTTTTAAACAAACTCTCAAAAAACTCAGATTCCAAACAGGCCCCTTGTTTATACCCTGCATACCTGAAACTCTTGAGACAATTTTTGTGTACGAGCTTAGCTTACTTTAATTGCATCAAAAATGGCTGATTCCCAAATTTTAACTCAAAAGCAAAACCAGTACATGGCAAAACTAGCCCATGAATCCGAGCGTTACAATGACATGATGAATTACATGAAAAATCTTGCATGTACAGAGGTTTCTCCATCTTCCGATTTAACCCTGGAGGAGCGAAGGCTACTTTTCTTGGCTTGCACGAAGGTGATTGGCTCCCTTCGTTCTGCATGGCGGTCTGTGGCTTCCGTGGAAGAGAAGGAACTGGTTGAACAGTATCGAGTCAGCATTGAAGCCGAAATTTCGAAGTTTTGTGATGGGATTTTGGAGTTGTTGGATAAATCCTTGATTCCTTCAGCCTCCTCGAGTGAGTCGCAGGTTTTTTACCTCACAAAGAAGGGAGATTACGAGAGGTACTCGGCTGAAATTAAGGATGGTGATGATTTTAACTTGGCTTCTGAAAAAGCCATGGAATCTTATAATGCTGCAGAGGTAGTTTTCACAAACTTATGCATGCAAAAATTACTTATGTCCGAATTAATTAAGAACTCGCAAAGTTGTCTAATTTTTCATACATACACATATTTTTTGGTAATATTAAAAGGCAAGCTAAATAGTACAGGTCCCTTTTTCTTGATGTTTTTGTTTGGGGAATGAGATTATTAGGGTTTGACTTGTGTCCCCTAGTAACTTTTTCTTATTATTAGGAGAATTAGAATTGGCATCCCTTCCCTATATAGATTTTTTTTTTGCTAGAGAAAAAAAAAAGATTATTAGGGTTGCATGGCAGACTTGATTGCTCGCTGGAGTCCAAATTACTGGGCTTAAGTTTTAAACAAGTAAATTATCTCCCAATCGATCAAGGCAATGTGGAGGCTGACATGCACAATGTTGCTCATATGGATGTTTCTTATGTTTATGTTCTGCACTATTTCAATTAGAGTAGTAAAAGAGGGCAAATTGTATGAAAAGATTTAAGCATTTAATGTATCATTTTTAGGGGCCTAATTATTGTTTATAATAATATTTTCAAGTTGATAAATTGCTTTATTCACTTTTTTCGTTCTTTGGAACAGAGAACTGCGTTGGCTGGCATTCGTCCATCGCATCCTGTAAGGTTGGGTCTGGCTATCAACTTGTCGGTTTTCTACTATGATGTCCTGGAATCATCGCAAGCTGCTCTTAGCACGGCCAGTTTGGTAAGTTTATTCCCCACTGTTCCAATAATATGCAGCCATTGGAAGTACCATAAAAGAGTTACTTAAGACCTTTTTTTCGATAAAAGTTTGCTTTAGTTTTTAGAGCTAAATATGCAATCCGATCCAAAAACATATAACATTGCAATCTTTTAAATTTACTGTTTATAAATTGTTGCTCAAAAAATTTTCTGAAAAATAAAGGTCAGTTTAATCTCAGTGTTTGTGATGGAAGCGTCCAAGAAGTCTTAATTATAACCATATGCAGTCGATGACATTGCTGGATATTTGTATTTGATCTCTTCTTGAACAAACTAATATCATAACTCTACCTGCAGATAATCACACACAGCAAAATATCAAATATGCACAAGTAACTGGTAGAAAATAAGCTGTGTCTTCTTAAATGCAATAATACACACTTGAGTTTTGAGAATGTGACATGCATTTACTTGCTCTTTTTAGGCTTCTATACATATTGAACGTACTTGCTTCTTCACATGAGCTAGTTGAATTTGTTCGCTCTTTTTTTGCAGGCCTTAAGGGATGCTCTTGCAGACATAAATTCATTGCCTGAAGAACTCTACCAGGAAAGCACACATATGATGCAACAACTCCAAGATAATCTCGATCTTTGGAAGGAGCCTTGAACTTCTTCTTAGATATTGAGGATTGTGAGTTACAGTTTTTTAATAGGAAGAGTTAACAACAAAGCTTTTTTTTCTTTCATTTTCACACTTTTTTCTTTATTTTTTCCTTTTGAGACAAGGCAGTTCAATTGCAGTAACGAATTTCTCAGCAATGGTATATGCTGGCATGAAGGAAATTAAACCAAGTTATTTTAGTATTTAGTTTCCTAATTCTTTTAATTTCTTGTTTTGGTATCTTCTTTGTTTAGTTTTCATATTAATTTAAGAAATTTTAAATCAATTTCAAGTAAGTTTCGATTTACAATTGTTTCTATTTAGGAAGTTTTGCAATGTATAAATATTAGGAGTCTAGTACATTATTTTTTGAAGAGTTGAGTGGAGTTTCCAAGAATTGAGTTGAGTCTTGTTAAGTTGAGTTGAGAGAAAAGTCTCTAAGTTGAGAGTTGTGAATTGCCTTAAATGAAATTGTCTTAAGCGAAAGGTAACGACTTGATATTATTATTAAGTACTTATTTGTGTGTTTGTTCTCCTCCTCTTCTCACATATTTTTATATGTGTTAGAATTGTTTCCGCTATGCATGTTTTTTTGAGCCAACAAGTGATATCAATATTCTAGACTTTGGTCCTAATGTTTGTTCATGAAATTAAAGTATGGGTTCGTATTATTTACAATGTTCTGACGTTTTTATTGTCACGCCCCGAACCCGCATATGCCCGTCACATGACATCCGCCGTACTCCCAAGTCTCACTCAAGAATACAAGGTTACATTAATAACAGCCCTAAATAATTCAACTAAATAAAATGCGGTACGAATTACATATAAAAAGAAGTCTACGAATATTCAAGACGTTCGTACATTTATTCTCCAATTGAAACACGGAAACAAAAGTAAATAAGACTAATAACTAGAAGTAGCTAGCCTGCCAACTTCTATGCACCTAAACTAATAAAAGTCGTTCTCATGGTCTTCTATGTAAACCAATTCATACTCTTCCGAATCTGCAAAAATGGTAAGAAGTAGGTTGAGCGACACATCGCTCAGTAGGTAATATTTACCCCTCTGTTGGACCATGCACTCTTAGTTTTATACATATATATATATATATATATATATATATATATATATATATATATATATATATATATATGTAAGTATAATTCAAATCATTTGCAAATCATTCACATCCATAGTTTTAAAAGTAACGTCATTTATAAAACAATTAGCAGTAAAGAATGACAAGGAATTTAAAAGCACTTTATTGATGCCCATACATGAGAAATCGCAATGTCATAAACCACTTTATAACAATTCATAAGTCTCTTCATATCCATTCATGAATCATCCCATAAAATGTCGCATATCCGTTCATAGATCATTTCAAAGCAGTACATAAATCGTTTCATATCCATTCGTAAAGCTTCTTTCAGTTCAGCTTATAACAAGTACATGCAATGACCGGCTACTGAGTACTCAGCCTAGAGATTTTACCCATTCTAGGTGGGCGACCAATTGGTTTCATGACTACCGATTGGTCTTATTTCATTCTTGGATCAATCGGCTGGACTCTATACCAGGCTACCATGACCTCACCAATCGGTTGGGTTTATACCAGGCTACCATGGCGATTAAACAGGACTATAATGTGACGGCCCCACCTCCCCCTAAGGCGAACCAGAGGGTTCGGCGGACCGCCTGCCCAGCTCTAGCCGGGACTCAGTCGCACACTACAGTCCTGAACCCAATTACAATATAAATCTCAAAATTACATCAAATTCTCCAATGATTACATATCACAAATGCAGCGGAAACTGATTCCAATCGTGGAACGTATACTTACATCCATATCAATTTCAAATATTTATACAAGACCAACTCGTACATAAAATAGATCCAAACTTAAACTGTACACGATATAAGCCATCCAGTCACATGAATAAGCACAACAAGTCCTGCCTTCGCCTTGAGCCCTGTGGAGGGGAATAAAATATTTTTGGGGTGAGTTAGAAGCTCAGCGAGTAACCAAATAAAACCAGTAATCAAATATCTTTCACAATAATTCATTTCGATGATGTCATGATGTCATGATTCAAGTATCAAATGCACGTATTTTTGCTCTCGTGAGCCAGTGAAATCATTGAAACTAAACATCCAACGCTCAAACAGATCACGAAACCATAAACATTAAAGGGAAGCAGCATCGGTGCTCCAGATCATATCACAAACTCACGAAAGTGGTGGAGACGTTGGTGTCCAGCACAAGACTCCTCAAGAACTCATTAAAGCCAAACCATGTCAAGAACTCGTACGCGCGCACACATGATATGCAAACCAAAGAAACAATGCAAGGAACATTTCAAAAGTAACTTTGGAAACAGTTTAGGGTCACTCACCTCAATGGCTCAGAAATCATCCATCATGTATCATTGCCTTGCTCAAACCCAAGTCTTAGATCACAAACTCAATGCAAACAAATCCTTTAAAAGTTCGGACAGCACTTCCCCTACATTTGCTAACTTTTCCAGCCATCATGGCTTCATTATTTCCTCAGCCAGTCCCAAAGGTACACACACAACAACAAGTTCATCCATAGCCATTCAGCAAGCTCCAAGTAGTACTAATACAAGTCAAGCTAGGGAAAAGTCCGGAAATGAAGGTTAAACTCAAAACCAGAAAAACAGTTTTGACGTCATTTTGCGGTAATGGTACCAAATGCGCTATGATTGTCGGATGAAGGTGCAAGACCCACCGTTTCGAAGCTAAGAAACAGGGCTACAACAATGTAGAAGGGCACTCAATCCAAATCCTAGCACAACTAGGTCAAATATGCCAAATACTACACCAGAACCACCAAAAACAGGTTTACAAATCACACAATGCTGTAATGAACACAACTCAGTCTATACAGGTCCAAATGCCGAAATTCCAAAGGCATATGTTAGCTAAGACATCCAGCTACATTTCATCAGAAGAAACCAACTTCAAAATCCAAACCAAAATCAGTCAAAATGGACAATTACTATCGCAGTTTTCGCATTCTGTCCAAAGCAGAACAGCTACAGTAATTCCGTCATAACTCACTCTACACTAAACCAAATGACCTGAAATTTTATAGGCACCTCAAACACATCAATACCTACAACTTTCATGTTTTGAGCAAAGTCAAATTCGGCCTCTAACCCTATGATCCAAAACCGGACAGAATTGGGGATTATCAAACCCTAACTTTTCTCAATTCATTCCAAACCCAAAATTGATTGCAAATTCTTATCAAACACACCTACTAGAGTCATTATAGTCCATTACCATTCATCATACAAGGCCACAACATCCCATTCATATTAAACCAGGAAATTCATCATAAAATGGAAAACTTCACCAAATCACTCCAAACCAAGATAAAAACCAGAAATTTCCGCACTTTAATCACTAATAAGCATAACTTAAGCTTCATTAAGTGCAAGAGTATGTTAAATCATCACTTACCGAGTATACAAGGGAAGAGGAGTTGTAGACCACCTTAGCTCTTCCAAACAAATCCACAAAACAACTCACAACCACCACTTGAAGATGTTTTATGGAGCAAAATCAAGGTTGGATGGTTGGTTTGATGATTTGGAACAAGATTGAAGTGTTTCTTCTTTGTACTTGGAGCAAGAGAGAGAGAAAGAGAGAGAGGAGAGAGCCGGCCACAAGGTGCAAGAAAAATGGTGATTTTTGAGCAATTTTTGGATATTTAATCTTTTGGTCAAAAAAGTCAAGAAAGTGAATAGTAATTCTTAAGTCTTCTCCAATGAAATGGTGACACTTGTCACCACCATTAATGCATTCCTATCCTTTCTTTTCTCTCTCACATCAATCATATCTCACTCTCTACTTATCTCTTAACACCCGATAAATTTTACACAGTATCCGGAATTTAACCTAATTGGCCGAATTTTTCCGAACTTTTCGCACTAGTGGGTCCCACGTCCAATATACGTTCTTAATTTCTCAAAATCTAACCAATACTAGAAAAATCATCTAAAAACTATATTTACTCATAAAAATTATCTGGGGAATTTTCTAATAAAGAAAATGTAGAAAAAAAACGGGTTTTCAATCTTAACCGGAACTTAGGGTTTAAATCTTAATCCCTACTTAGGGTTTTCGAAATACTCCCAAAACCAAACGTTACCGCCAAATTAATGAATATATCAATGTAGTACGAACTGGGGCCTCACATATAACCCCTATCGTCTATTCCATGACTGCTCTGAGCTTTACTTGTCAAAATACATTTCATCTATCGTATACATAAATCTTTGCTTTCATAAAAGATTCAGTTCATTTTGTATATAAGAAACATCTCAACACATTTCAAATAAGTCACATGGTCCATTTTTGTATAGTAGAATATAACTTTCATAAATATCCAAGCAAAACATTTAATCAAACACCTTTCGAGTCAACACCACAAAATAGGATTGAAAACAAACATTTCATTTTGCACCTTTAAAATCTCAGAAGGGTAAGTACCACCTACCTTTGTTTAGCTGCTCGAGTGAAACTACCTTAGATTCTTGTACCATACCTATCAAATGCATGAGTTCCCTAATTAGTTGTTATTTCCTATAGATGCATAAATATACAACCTCTAAGTAAGTACAAGATTCATACCTAGACCATTGTATGGACCCTAATAGCATTTCCCTCAAATCGGATGATTTCTATTTTTGGAAAGTTTCTATTTTTAGAAAGTTCTTAATTTGGAAAGCGTAAGGTTTCCTAATTTAGAACATTCCTTAATTGAGAAGGTTCTTCTTTTTGTAAAGTTTCCTAATTTAAAAGAAGATAATTATTTATTACTCTTATTATTATTATTATTAATGTTATCGTCAACCTTATTATTTACTATTATTATTGTTATCCTTATTGTATTATTATTAGTATTACTATTATTATTATTATTATTATTATTATTATTATTATTGTGACTTTAAACATTTCGGTTAAGAATT